ATCGTTATATTTATTCTTTATATGTTTATATTTGATTTGTAACCTGTAGTCGATATTAATTTTGTCAAATTTTCTCAATTACACAGCGGACCTTTCAGTAAATGTCCTTCAATTTTAGTTTCCCCTGCCCCATCTCTCTCCCCCCACCTCTTCTTTCCTTTTCTCTCCCTACCTCCCTCCTATTCTGATCTTTAACATTAGATCGTCTATGGTGTGTGTATGTCACCACGAAATTATCTTTAATGTATTAGACATCCGACAACATTCATATTTCCCCCTTCCACTCTAGTTAGAAAAAACCCTCTCTGTTAAGTTTTAGTCTCCCACCTTCTCCGTCTATTACCCCTCTAGTTAACACTAACATTCGTCCCACACTCTCATACTTACACTCTCTCCAAATTCTATTTTTATTTCTGGAGTTGTTCTTTTCTGTTTTCTTTTTGAATTAGTAGGTCTGATGAATTGGATCGTATTTACGATTCCAATGGAATAAATTATGACCATGGAATATTAGTGTTTAAGCCTTTTTATTATATATATATATATATTTGAATTTGTAGGTCTGATGAATTGGATCGTATTTACGATTCCAATGGAATAAATTATGACCATGGAATATTAGTGTTTAAGCCTTTTTATTACATATATATATATATACAGATACATATATATATGCATACATATATATATATACACATACATAATTACATATATATTACACATACACACACATATATGTATATGCATATATATATATATATAATAGCTAGACACTCGTATTCAAGGATACACGTCTGCTAAGGCCGGTAGCCAATCCCTATTGCAGACGCACGCTCAGGCGCATCCGTGTTCGTTCAACACCAACAGAGCCAGCCTCTGGTTTATACTGCCACTATGCTGAACAGACCTCAGTTACAGTTTCTTGAGAAAGCGTGTTATCTAACGTGACTAACAATCTGACCAAAGGCCATCTCGCTCAAAGGTTTATATATAGAGACACCAACAGTTATATATATATATATATATATATATATATATATATATATATATATATATATATATATATATATATATAGCTGCTGTTGGGTGTCTGAGGTGTATTTGTTTGTTGCTGCCACAAATGAGATGCTAATATTTTTCTGCAATATGTGACAAATGTTCCAATAAAAGAGCAGTGACGCCCGGTTAAGTATCCTACTCTGCGTTCCATTCTGGGCCTGTTCTCGCTCGATCGTACCTTTCATCATAGTAACTCTCTTCTCATTTCTTTACCACATTTGTTCTGCTAGGCCTATTACTCACGGCATACACACAAAGACTATTTACAAATGATTCTATGGATGACAGAGGGGAAAACACTTTCTCTATAAACTGAACAAAATGAATGTTTGTCCGGGACCCATGTTTTCTATACCAAAGGAAGAATGATTGTTGTTTTCTTCTTGGAGAATAATAAACTGTATTATTTTTTACTAGAAACGAGAGTTATGCCTGCAAAGTGTATTTCAATGAATTAAAATAACAATAAGATTGAAAGGTTAAAAAACTGCTTTGAGCGATAAAAAGTGGGATCCAAAAATAGAAACGCCTAACACAAATAATTGTTGCTGAAGGTTAAATGCTTTAATCTCTCTCCTGAGGAGACATTTTGACTACCTTAAGTTAAAAAATGATGAAATGGGGCCTATGGAAACAATTTCTACAATAGTGAACTATATTCGGATTCTTACAACCACGTTTGGTTGAGATCTATGGGATCCAACCTTTTTTTTTCTCTCACATCTATTCCTTATTTTTAAAGTAACTGATCAGCTCATCATGCAAAAAAAGAATTCTCGTATATTACCTTACGTATATTACTTTTAGTTCCATATTTTACACTACATTTCTAGCCACAGTATCATACACATGAAATCGAGGGACAGCATCTGAAAGAGCTCCATGCAAACCGAAAATTCACCAACATAGTCTCAGAGAGAATAAATTTTGCTGCAGTAAAAGGCGGCATGCATAGGCCATTTTTTCTATACCACTCTTATAGCAATCGCATTGCCGCGTCTATTCTGAAAAGCCTGAAACAAGTGACACAACGCATTTTGAACAAGAAAATGCTAGTTATTAAGATAATCGGTATCCGGCTCTCAAAAGTTCATGCGGACATCATCCTTCGATAAGTCGAACTCCATACCGAGCTGATTCAAAGTGATGTTCTCGATTTTAACACACTGCATATTGCCTTTCTAGGCTGTGAAAGGTCACTAGACGAAGGAATCTGTACTAAAAACTAACGACATTCGCTTTCTTACCTCTAGATCTACAACTGAACCTGACCTACTCTTGAAAGGTAACAAGCCTGCGCTTAAAGAAAACTTTTCTAAATTTCTTTTTCTACCTTGCTCATTCATTATTCTATAGTGCAGAAAATCTAACCTCAAGACATTTAACCTCATTGACATAGCACGAGGTTAGACCTCTTTTACAGGTTGAATGCAGACCTGTCTAAAGATCACTGGCCAGCCTTGCAGAGCAAGAAGAAGAGATAATAATCGAAAGCCAACATTTGATCCTCAGACTGACTAAATAGAACCGCTTGGTAATGAATAAGATAAAAACAATTCTATGCAGCCCACCTGATAAGCTATTGGTTTTTCGTTGTTGCACGTCGGTATTTAAGGATCTTCTCACTGACTCTTGTGAATAGGTCAGAGAAAACTGTTTGCTGAAGAGCGAGAAAATACGTTTGTGTTTTTCACACTAATTCTACTTGTCAGTTGTTGATTTCTCCCAGGATCCAAGCAGTTAAACAAAAGTGAATACTTCATTTATCCTTGGTTGGGCGAACAGTAAATATGGCCTCTACAAGTGCATATCTAATGTTGAAATATAAACTTCCAGTAGTAAACCTCTTTTAATTTATGTAAACGAGATATATAGGTTAAGTGAGGTTAAGCTACAAGTATCTTGGAAAAAAATAAAAAAATGTTCAAATGAAGACAAAAATCAAGTGAAAAACATTAGCAAGCAAAGTTTCATGTGAACTGTATACTTAACGTGATGACATAGCCGAACAAACAGAAATGAAAATGGCGGTTGTTATGCTTATATTTGCAGAAGTTAGATCCCGGAAATCTTTTATCTGGTTTTGTGAACATTAGTTTGATTGATCGAAAGATATGGTTCGAACTTTGTCATTAATATATATATATATATTAATCATTTCACGGCAAGCAAGCCAACAAAGCCACTGAGACACAGTGGGTTACTGAATGTGAAAGAATACAAGAAAAAAGAAAACATTATTAAGGAACGAGAAAATAAAAGAACTGAAAATTAAGAAGACATAATATGACGACTGACATAGCATTTAAATTTTTGAAGAACGAACTTACTGGAAAACAACAGCCTGGGAGAATGAGAAAAAGAAATTGTTAGCATATAACTTACGGTTGCATCTAGCTATTTCAACTGTAAAATTTTCAGTTCAGTTTACTGTGTGAAAATAACTGAATCTCTGGTTGAACTAAAAATAAGATTTTTTATAAGAATTCTTACCATACATAAGGCTCGAGAGCTATTCAAGGAAGAGGGATACTATTAAAATGATTATGATGAGGATACGGAAGATGAATAAAAACTAACCATTGATATGAAGATGTTAAAAGTGAAATGTTCCAGGAAGCATCCACCCGGTTGTCTGTCCCTAAAAATGGTAGTTTTTCTAAGATCTGTCTTTGTGGAACTTGGAACTTACCTTTGGAATATAGAAGCAACTCCTTGGAAGCAACATGGCATATTCTAGCAGTAAACTGATGGAAACAATGAATGAAGATGAACATTTGCTATGGAAATAGCGATAGCTTAGCCACAGGCTTTTGACGTTGAGACTGTAGGAAAGTGGGAGAATGTCATCCGTCGAGGAATGTGTGCATGTGCGTGTGTGCGTGCGTGTGGATGTGTGTGTGTGTGTTGTCACTACGGACATTTTTCAAATGGTACATAGTTTTTTTTTAATAGGTCATTTTCAGGTTATTGTATTTACTTTTTCACCGATATTTGTGTTCACGACTCCCACTTTGTATAAGAGACCATCGACTTAAAATGTGAATCGTAACGTTGTATATCCTAAATTCTTGCCTATTTGATGTGTTCAAATATACGTTATAATCAATTACAGTTGAAACATATTCAGAAATATAACATCGATAGTAAAATTGATGCAGTATTGCAAGTATATGAAAATTATACTAGAACCATCAAATGGAATTAGTAAGTTAAAATATCTCAGCAGTTATATGCCTTCATGCAACAAGAATGATTTCAAGAGATAACATTTTCATTTTGAATTTATGTTAAAAGGCATTACCAAACGTATTCCTCCAAGCTTTCTTCAAGACTTTATATATATATATATATATATATATATATATATTTATATATATATATATATATATATATATATATATATATATATATATATATATATATATATATATATATATATATATGAATATACACTGAATGAATTATATAGTTTTCTTCATTTTCGTCCGAGAAAGCCCGCTCGGTAGCTCACACACATGCGCGTTCGCGCAGAGGGTTATATGCGCGTGGAAACCAGTTTCTTTATGGCATATATCGTTGCCAACTGCGACATCATTTGATTACGTTTCGGAAATGATTGCATTGTTACTGACAAGGAAATTTCTTTTCTCTCTTCCATTTATAATGTGTGCGCTGAACGGGTTAATACGTAGGAGTGAAATACAAAGACGAATTGTGTGTAAGATCACGGGGAACGCACTGCCGAGGATATTTTGGTTAAGAAAGAAAGAAAATGTATAATTCCAATGCAAAGGAAATATTTTCATGTAGGGGGAAAAGAAAACGCAAGAAAACAGTTTAAAGATTCGGAAGCCGGAAGAGCGGAAAAGAGACAAACAAAATGTGTAGAATAGAAAAACGAAAATAACAGAAAGAAAAGACAAATAAACAGCAATAAATTACCACCCAAAGAAAAAAAAATGAAAGAGTAATGATAAGAAATATAAATTTGATAGAAAAAAATCTCCTAGGAACGTTATAGAGAGCGAGAAGGATAAAAGGATAGGGAGAAAGAGATGAGAATGAGAGAGAGAGAGAGAGAGAGAGAGAGAGAGAGGGGTCAGGGCAAAAGGTGAGAGAGAGAAAAGACGAGGACAAAAGGTGAGAGAGTGGAAAATCAGGACAAAAGGAGAGAGAGAGAGAGCGAGACCAGGACAAAAGATGAGAGAAAGAGAGACCAGGACAAAAGGAGAGAGGAAGTGAGAGACATCAGGAGAAAAGGAGTGAGATATCTAGACAAAAGAAGAGAGAGACCAGAACATAGGGGAGGGGAGATCAGAACAAAATGAGACAGAGAGATGATGACAAATCGATATAGACACAGAGAGATAAGGACAAAGGGTATATATATATATATATATATATATATATATATATATATATATATATATAAATATAAATATATATTTGTGTGTGTGAGTGTGTGTGTGTAAAGGACAAGAGAGAGAGATAAAGGCCAAAAGGATAGAAAAAGAGGTGTATAAGGACAAAAAAGTAGAGAGAAAAAGAGAGTGATGGATAAGAACAAAACGAAAAAGAAGCATAAATGGATAGAGAAAAATGAAACAATAAAAAGAGAGAAAGAGAGAGAGAGCGTAGAAAAGATAAGAGGATAAAGAACAGGATAGAGAGAGATAAAAGGAGATAGAGAGAAAGACAAAGGATAGACAGAGAAAAGATAAAAGGATAGAAAGAGAGAAAGAGAGAAAATGATAGAGAGAAATAAAGTGAAAAGAATATAGAGATAGAAAAGATAAATGGATAGATGGCTAGAGAGTGAGAGAAAAATATAAAACATATATACAGAGAGAAAAAGATAAAAGGATATATAGAGAGAGGGAGAAGAAGATGAAAGAATATAGAAAGAGAGGAAAAGATAACAGAGAAAGAGAAAGATAAAAGGAGAGACACACAGAGAGAGAAATATAAAAGGACAGACACACAGAGAGAAAAAGATAAAAGGATAGAGAGAAAAATGAATAAATAGAAAAACAGCGAGAAAAATCAATGAAAAAAATGGTGTTCTAAAAGAAGTTTAACTTTAAAAGACACAATAAAAGAAAAATATACGTAAATAAAATATGATAAACTAAAAACAAGAAAGCTGTCATCAAAAGAATTACGAGTGAAAAAAAATGATTCATTTCGATGGTCATTATGTAAATTTATCACTTTTTGCTTGAGATAACACATCGAAAATTTTTCCTTTTTCTGTTACGTCATTTTTCGTAATGGCAAAATGCGTTCGCCTAGACAATGATAGAAAAAGAGAGACAGGAATGCTAGCTAAATAATAATAATAATAATAATAATAATAATAATAATAATAATAATAATGCCAGATAAATAGAAAGATGAATGACATATAATGAAACTTCAGTTGGTGCTTTCTTTTCCCAAATGAGGTCTCCTGAATTTTCGCGAAAAACAAACCAACATTTTAGAAATAGAAATGGTACGGAATTGAAAACCACAAGATTGGTAAAATGAAACTAACGGGAATAAAATTATTCTAAAATTGCACAAATGAACTCAAATCACTACTGAATATTCTATCTCATTTCTTTCTTTTCTCTTCTTTTTTTCCTTTCTTTTCTTTTTTCTTTGTTCCTTTCTTTTCTTTTCTTTTTTTTTCGGCCGATGGCTTTTAGTGACATTTTAATTTACCAGTATTATTTTTACAAAAATTTCCTGAATGCATAAAAAGTTAGTTTTGTTAAAAAATTTTCTCATACGTAATCAAAAGCTAAGCTGGCTTTATTTTCTCTGAACTCATTTACACGTTCTTTCTTATTGACACTTTGAAATAGATTTCACTTCAGCCTTAAAAACTCTAACCTTCTTCCCAGTCACATTTTTATTTCACTTTAAATTAGCATTCTCTCGATACAATAATCTACTACCAGCGATGCTAATCAAAGTTGACGACACATTCACGCGTTTCTGCATGCACATATCGAAGCAAACTTATATACACGCTTCATATCTTTTACATCTTTTACATATCTTTTACATATCTTTAGTGATTGTAATGACAGTAAGTGCCCATTTTTATCGTTTGCCCATCGTACATACATCTCAATATGTCCGGTATTTCACGGAAGGTAGCTAGAAACAACAATAATAATGTTATATTCCATAGGTTTCCTTTTAGAATTGACAATATTAGAGTTTGATCTTCATTAAAAACAGATTAGAACAGAGTCTGCGATCGTAGAATAGGACAAGAGAAGTGGTTTCCAAACGGTGCGGCGTGTCTCATAGGTGCTACGGACGAGGATAACAGGTGAGGCAGATTCATTGAAAGACACAGATTTAGAAACAGCTGCAAAAAAATAAATATGCCAAAAATAAATATGATTTCAAAATATTATTAAAGATTACTCGTAATTGCATGCATGAGTCCCACAATAAATAATTATTGACCGATTTTATCATTGCGATATTTTTGCATCGTATCAAGTACTGATTTTCCAAGCGTAGCACAAGGCCGAAAGTAGGGGTACCCAGTGAGGATCGAACTCACTACTCAGTCGTAACTGTTCTAGCGAGACAAGCTTGCTAACCATTACACCGCCACGAGGTGCCTAGCAATGCATCAAGTATTAGGAATATCGTAACTAGGGCCTGCAAATTGAAGGAGAGAGTAATCAATGATAATGTCCTAACTTCGAATCCGTGGTTATCTCCCTTTAAGCCTCTCTCAGGATCTTCTTTACTGTAGGGCTGCTTGTGCCTTTTCACCGGGACTCCTCTTCCACTGAGCCTATGTCTTCATACATGTACTTTTTATCAAATAAAATTTGTTTAGGCGTGAGCATAGTTTCATTCCGAAAATGGGCACAGAGAAAAAGTTTGGAAACCATTTCCTACAATAATGTAGGAAAAAAAATTCATTTTTTTCCTTTTCTTTCCTTTTTTATTCAGACACTTTGAGAAATTCTTAACTCACTACACAACAGTGAAGTACAATTCTTGAATGATACTTTTTATTTTACTCAAACGAAAACAGTTATTTCTTGTTCCATTCATAATGTATTCTAAATATTTTCGCATCCTGTTTTAACATTGTTCTGGAATTTTCGCGGACGAGCTTACAGGATCAAACTAACGGCACAATAACAGCAAAGAAATTCCTTTTCTGTTGTGTTCCTGTGTATTCCTCAAATCCCCCGAATGGCAAGTTTCTTTCTGATATAAATTCTACAGCATTTTGATTCTTGCTTGATTATGCTTTCTTGTATTCCATTAAGAGTTATTTCATCGGATACTAACCATCAAGCGTCAAAAGACAGAATGTACGCTTGTCAGCAAGATGAAACGCCCAAATTGGAGATATCCAAATCAGGCAACAACTACAATATTTAGGAAGTCTCGGAGAGATCTAGTAATTCTCGTGTTCAGTTAGTCATTAAAAACACTGTAAAAACGTTACAATAGTAACTGAAGTAGTTATCACTTGATACAAAATATATTAGTCATGGATGTGTAGTGTCTGTAGGGACATTATTATTATCTTATATAATAAATGAAAAAATGTCTAACTTTCAATTATCTCGCCTTCTTTATCTAACTTCTTATATAATAAATGCCAAAATATCTGTGTGTGTAACACTTTTCAATTAAAGGGACACAAGTTTGAAAAATTCATACATTTGGAGCCATGGTCAATGATTCAGCCTGAAAACAAACAAGAGAGTCAGAATCTCAGGTGATCTTGAATCAAGGAGATTTGCTGCTCTGTTGTTGCAGCTTGACAATGGAACCATCAAAATGGGCCAAAATGGAGATATTTCATCTCCAAATGGCTCTGAAGTTTCAGTCTTAAGTATCCAAGACTTGATTAAACATGTTTATCCAAACATTAAACATAATTCCATGGATTCAAACTGGCTTTGTGATATCACCATATTAGCTCCCAAGAATCAAACTGTGGATAGCATCAACTAGAAACTTCTCCAATAAATTCCAACAGAAAGCATGAAGTACTTTTCCATTAACACTGTGGTTGAACAAGAGTAGGCAGTGAAATATACAATAGAGTTCCTGAACTCATTGAATCCTACTGGAATGCCACCACACAAGCTGGAACGAAAAGAAAATGTGCCAGTTATGCTATTGAGAAATCTGGATCATCCAAAGCTTTGTGATGGGTTAATTGTCGAGAAAATGCTTCCTCATCTCTTGGAAGCAGAGATCCTTACTGGTCCAGGAAAGTAAGAAATAGTTTTAATTCCAAGAATCCCCTTAATTGCTCCAGATCTCGCTTTTGAGTTCAAAAGACTTCAGTTTCCAGTGAGAGGAAGCTATGCAGCGTCAATCAATAAGTCCAAAGGATAATCATTGAAAGTAACCGGACTTCATCTGATGGAAATCTGCTTTTTCACAGACTGCTCATTGTTGGTTGTTCAAGGGTTGAAAATGAAAACAAGCTATTTGTATTGACCCCTAATGGGAAAACCAAAAATACTGCTTATCATGCAGCTTTGCAATAAATTCAAAATAGACAAATTATATCATTCTATTGATGAAATCTGTTAATTGTTGGAAAAAAATATTGTTCAAGTTTAATAAAATTTAATATCTACTCAATACATGAAGTGTCAGTGTTGGGCCGAAAGCCGAACCAAGAGCCCTCTGCAGGAGCTATCTTAAATGACATCCAATTGGTTAAGATAGATAATAAATAAAAATAAAATATAAAATAATCATATCATAAATAAAAGAAAAGAAAAGAAATAACATTAAAATTTTGTTTAGTATAAATTAAATAAAACCTAAAAGAAAAAGAAAAAATATTTCAGAATGCAAGAGAAACATTTCCTAACAGAAAACAGACTTCATGCTAAAAGATGCTGGATTCATTCTCTTCGCTAACGACCGTTGGAAAGTCAAGACGCCCATCTCATCGCTTCTGGACATTGCTTGTTATAATACGAAGTGACTTCTTTCCTCTATCACACATGCAACATTAAAACACTTCTGACTAAAATCCACACACACACACGCGCGCACACACACACACACCAATACACAAAATAAATAAATTCTAAGATCTTAATTTACAATTTAACATGCATTAAGACGAGAATATTTCTGCTTATATGATGTCACTGACCTCACAAGTCACAATAAAGATAAAATTATATATATAAACAAAATATAAAAAGGATTCAAATTAAAATAAGGCATTTGCTCTTTCCTTTAAAACCCTTATCTCTCTCTTTCTCTCCCTCTACCTCTCTCTCCCTAAACTTTTTTCTATATTTCTCTCAATTAATGAGAAAGTAATCTTCAAATAGAAGAGGAAGAATAACTGAACCTGGACGAAAAACGCCGGAAGTTTGAGGGATACACTTAAAAAAATGAAAAAGAACTGAACGCCGGAAAATAAAATAATTTGGGCCAATCAAAAAATTAACACTACGAAACTTTTGATGTTAGCCGAAACCAAGGTTCACACCAGACTGTCGGAACCTGGTCACCTAATCAAAAGGATATAAGCTCACACCTCTGAGCTAGACGGCAGAAGGGACAGCGACAGTGACGACAAAAGAGAAACCAGCCATGTGTGACTCATGAAGTAGTAATTAAGAGGTCATCCGCCAATGGTATTTCTGCCCTGTTTAGGGCAGAGAAAAACACAACAGATCGACACTATTTCTAACATGACTAGCCCTAGCACGTTCTGCCTTCAAAATTACCATTACCGAACTTTCTCCAGACTGCTACCAATATCCGCCTCATAAACGAACATTTTTGTGGCACTGAATATCAAAGTAAATAAATAAAAATACATTTATTTTGTAACCCCTTTATCCATTAAAGAAAATTTTGTTTTTACATATGTATAATGAATGTCCAGATAATTTAGTTGGAAAAATACAAAAAGTGTCTGGGGTTTTCTTACCCCAAATTGTTGGATGCTAAAAGATAAATGTTACTATTATGGCCTGAAAAAGGAAAAGGAGATGAAATTTTCGTTGACGCACGTGTTAATGACTTGTCCGTGTGAACCGTTTGTCTGATAGTGAAAAGTTCATGTCTTTGTGTCTGTAGAGGAGAAAAGTGGGGTCTATTCTCATTGGTTTCGAATGAGTGGATTAATGATAATTACAATTACTGTAATTTTTTTTTAGATATTATAGTATCAATTTTTATTTATGTTTTTATGGACACGGCAAATAGAATTTTTCTATTTTATCGATATACTTACCTAATGCATCTTTCTCCTTTTCTACATTGGCCTTCTTTACCTTATTTATATTTCTCTTACAAACACTTTAATATTATTTTCAGGTGACCCATAGTGTTTAATTCATATTTACAAGAAACACAGAATCCTAAATAACAAAATATTAAAAGCAGCATAAATCAGTGAAAAAGAATCGCGGAATATTGTATTTAATGTCCGCGTCATATCTGTCAGAAGAATTCAGCAAAGATCATCATTACTGTCAAAAATAACAAACATGTCTTGCATCCTATTTCTAAGTGCTGGGTATACATCTATTATGGCTGTATTCGCAGGTCCTAATTATCTAGATTTATGAATGTTAAATATAAAGACTTTGGTTTGAACATAGGCCTGCAATATATTTGCAGTAGAGATGTGCATATGTATGAAAAATGTAATATTGTCGTTTTATCAGATGACAATGTTAAGAACAAATTTACATCATTATAGAAAGAGCGTAGAGAACAACAGTAAGAATTTAAAATTTTTTTTACAATTGTTTTTTAACCTTTTCAGCGTAATCTAAATCTATGATGTTCTATAATTAACCTATTTCATTCAAATATAGAAAAAACAAAAATATGCACACTATAAATGAACACTGATGATTTTTCAAGAATAGAAAATAAAATTAAAATTATTACTGTTGTTCTCTCCTAAGTGTTCCAAGAAGTACAACAGAACCTGTTTGGAATTAGAATGAAAGCAGTGATAGTAC